CTAAACACTTTATGTGTATTAACTTATTTTACAAATTATTCATAGACTGCTTAAACACAGTTGCTGTGTATTTGCTGTTTTTAAAAAAAATTTATTTCTTAGAGAAATGTATATCCTATACACTTTTTATTTTAGTTATGTGAGATTTAAGAAAGCTTCCCACTGCTCTAGGCAGGTTTATATCTCTTTGAATTGTTTGAGGTTTGAATGAGATACTATCCATAAAATGCTCAACCCTGTGCCTGGAATTCAGCAAGCACTTGCCATAATAACCATTCTTTTTATTAAGTATTGAGAGTGGAGGGGAGATGTGGAGGGAATCCTGAGTTCTTGGCATTAATAGTGCTTTGCACATATGTCTTTTCGAATCGTGCTTTTCTCAGGTATATGCTCAGTAGTGGTTTCTATTTTTAGTTCTTTTTTTTTGTTTGAAGGAATCTCCATACTGTTCTCCAAGTGGCTGTATCAATTTACATTCCCATGAACAATGCAAGAGAACTCCCTTTTCTCCACACCCTTGCCAGCATTTATTGTTTGTAGGTTTTTTGATGATGGCCATTCTGATTCGTGTAGATTGGCACCTCACTGTAGCTTTGATTTGCATTTCTCATGTATGGATGTGAGAGTTGGACTATAAAGAAAGCTGAGCATGGAAGAATTGATGCTTTTGAACTGTGGTGTTGGAGAAGACTCTTGAGTCCCTTGGACTGCAAGGAGATCCAACCAGTCCATCTTAAAAGAGATCAGTCCTGAATATTCATTGGAAGGACTGATGTTGAAGCTGAAACTCCAATACTTCGGCAACCTCATGTGACGAGCTCACTCATTTGAAAAGAATCTGATACTGGGAAAGATTGAAGGTGGGAGAAGAAGGGGACAACAGAGGATGAAATGGTTGGATGGCATCACCGACTCAATGGACATGAATTTGAATAAACTCTGGGAGTTGGTGACAGACAGGGAGACCTGGCATGCTGCAGCCCACGGGGTTACAAAGAAGTGGACACCACTGAGCAACTGAAATGAACTGAAATTTAGTTATTTAAATTGGAAACAAAGAAACATCATTGTAAATCATTGAGAAATATGTGTCTGTAGATTTGTGTATAATCCTGAAAGAAAGATCTCTTACAGAGAATTAGTCCACCATATTCTTCCCCATGGCATACCACCACGTATTTCCCAAAGAAATATAACAACAAGCAGAACAAACTGAAACTGGCCAATCAACAAACAAAAACCCCACTATATTTTGGATCTAATACTTTCATCCATCAGAATATTTTAATTGCAAAGAAACTTACAGTTCCATATTCAGTACATGGCACAGTAAGTTGGTGTTTTTTTCAATACTCTTTACAACTCTGCAAATTAAGGATTATTAGTTACATAATGAATGAGTAGCTTGCACCTCATAAGTTAGATCTTTGTTCTTGAAAGATGTTAGCTATTGTTTTAGTGAGTACATTTATCAGTTCAGTTCACTTCAGTCGCTCAGTCATGTCGGACTCTTTGGGACCCCATGGACTGCAGCACACTAGGCCTCCGTGTCCATCAACAACTCCTGGAGTTTAGCCTAACTCACATGGACCTAACTTGGCAGAAATCGACTTGCTTCTTATCAGTCGGTCTGCTTTTTCCTCTGGACACAGATTTAGATTACGTTTCCAACCAAACTGTCTTAAGTGTGGCCATCATACCATGTTCTGCAATGAGTCATGGATAAAAAGAATAAATGCTAATTCTAGGCCCAAACCATCTCCTTCCGTCAAACGGAAACCATATGACTTTCTTCCCCCTTTTGTCGTCATGTTGATTGGAAACCGACATTTAGGGAAACTTAGGTAGCCATGTGTTAGGGCTGCCAGATAACGTAGGACAATCAGTTAACTTTGAACTGTGGATAAACAACAGATGATTGTTTAGTATAAGTGTAAGCTAGATGTTGAGCAGGAAATACTCACGTCAAACTTACTATCTATCCAAAACCCACATTTACCCAAGCCTCCTCTTCGATTCGCCCAGTCAGGCCGCCCTGCCTGTGTGGCTTACTGCGCCCTCCTGCAGGCTGTGCACCTGAGGGGCTGCGGGAGCAGCGTCCCCCTGCCAGCAGCCTCTTTCCTCCACTAGATTTCCTGTTGTGATAAGCCACCGAGATTTGGGGGCTTATTTACTATCATAATATTATTTTGATCAATTCTCACTGCAGTCATGCTTTCGATTATTCATGAGTAATCTTTAATCTTCCAATACACGGTAATTTGGATTACTGCTCAGGTGAGACTGAGTCTTGCAAGTTGTGAATCTCTATGGTTTATAATGCAGTTTTGCAAAAAAAAAAAAAATAATAATAATAATAATAATGATTGATACATTTCAATGCCCCCCCTCTTTTTTTGGTTCACTATGCTTTGTCTTCTGGCACATTAAAAGAAATTAAGCATTTAAAGACGTTCTCTAAACTTAACCATCATGAATGCAAATGCTGCATTAATCCTCAATGAGCATGTGGCTGCAAAATAAGAGGATTAATTTTATAGGCAGTATCCCAACAAAATATTAATATTTTATCAGAAATTTCACATTTCAATGAATACTGTCATATTTAATGTGCTTCAGATGCTGAACATTTAACATCAGTGATAATGCCTCTAACAAAACAATTTTTGAGAATTCTTTTTTGGTAATAGCTTTCAGCATCTGAAATTTATCTTCGTGAACATAAACCCATAGAGGAAATTTTTGTTCCTTGAGGGGTAATTTAAAATAAGTGAAAAGCTGGGAAGAATTATTTTTGAAAATTAGATTCATCCCTCTGCTCCAGGTTGTACAATATGAAAGATGAGAAAAGCAGGCTGCACAGAACACCTGAAAATTCTGGATAAAATATAACACAGATCATTGTAAAGTCATACTGAGCTCAGAAGCAAGTAAGAAAATACCTGGCACTGAAGATTGAAAACGAACCTGCAACGAGAGTGGGTTCATGAGATGGTGCTGAGGTTGTCAGAAGGACTTCTGCCATTACAGTAAACATAGGTCTTTGGTTTATAGACATCAATGGGGAATTATGTCTTGATACACAGTGTAGATGGACTCAAAAATTGAATTTTAGTAAATAATTATTTAAAAGAAAATCACCTTGATGGGAAAAGACCTTCTGTTTGGTTAAAAAGAACAGTCCCTATGAGCATTTCTAACAACCACCACGAATTCACATGGATGTGGACTTGAAATTTGCATTATTAGGTAATAAATTAACAGAACCTTGTGGTGGTTGTGAATATTTTAGCTACCTGGCAGAAGCAGAAACAAAGTAAAACTATGAGGAAGAATATAGCAATATTCCAGGTTACCTTAAGATTCCTGCAGGTAAAATCAGTAAAAAAAAATTATAATTCATATATGCATATATTAAAAAAAAGCATTATCCTCAAAAAAACTAAGCAGAAACAGCAGATAACAGAATTGAATAACATAGGGTTTGGAATATTGGAATTACCAATTACAGAATATAAAATAATAGATGTTTTTATTATTCAAAGAAATTTAACAATTAAAATAAGACTATCTAACATTACCAAAAACAGTTCAGTCACACAGTCATGTCCAACACTTTGAGACGCCATGTCCGCAGCAAGCCAGGCCTCCCTGTCCATCACCAACCACTGTAGACTGCCGGAGTCTACCCAAACCCATGTCCACTGAGTCGGTGATGCCATTCAAACATCTCATCCTCTGTCGTCCCCTTTTCCTCCAGTCCTCAATCTCTCCCAGCACATGGGTCTCTTCAAATGAGTCAGCTCTTCGCACAAGGTGGCCAAAGTATTGGAGTTTCAGCTTCAACATCAGTCCTTCCAAGGAACACCCAGGACTGATCTCCTTTAGGATGGACTGGTTGGATCTCCTTGCAGTCTAAGGAACTCTCAAGAGTCTTCTCCAACACCATAGTTCAAAAGCATCAATTCTTCAGCCCTCAGCTTTCTTTATAGTCCAAGTCTCTCATTCATACATGACTACTGGCAAAACCATAGCCTTTACTAGACAGACCTTTGTTGACAAAATAATGTCTCTGTTTTTTAATATGCTGTCTAGGTTGGTCATAACTTTCCTTCCAAGGAATAAGTGTCTTTTGATTTCATGGCTACAATCACCATCCGCAGTGATCTTGGAGACCAGAAAAATAAAGTCAGTCACTGTTTCCACTGTTTCCCCATGTATTTGTCATGAAGTGATGGGACCGGATGCCATGATCTTAGTTTTCTGAATGTTGAGTTTAAGCCAACTTTTTCACTCTCTTCTTTCACTTTCACCAAGAGGCTCATTTCTTCTTCACTTTCTGCCATAAGGGTGGTGTCATCTGCATATCTGAGGTTATTGATATTTCTCCCAGCAATCTTGATTCCAGCTTGTGCTTCATCCAGCCCAGCGTTTCTCATGATGTACTCTGCATATAAGTTAAATAAGCAGGGTGACAATATACAGCCTTGATGTACTCCTTTTCCTATTTGAAATCAGTCTGTTGTTCCATGTCCAGTTCTGACTCTTGCTTCCTGACCTGCAAAGAGGTTTCTCAAGAAGAAGGTCAGGTGGTCTGGTATTACCATCTCTTTCAGAATTTTCCACAGTTTATTGTGATCCACACAGTCAAAGGCTTTGGCATAGTCAATAAAGCAGAAATAGATGTTTTTCTGGAACTCGCTTGCTTTTTCCATGACCCAGCAGATGTTGACAATCTGATCTCTGGTTCCTCTGCCTTTTCTAAAACCAGCTTGAACATCTGGAAGTTCACGGTTCACATATTGCTGAAGCCTGGCTTGGAGAATTTTGATGCTTTACTAACGTGTGAGATGCATGTAATTGTGTGGTAGTTTGAGCATTCTTTGACATTGCCTTTCTTGGGATTGGAATGAAAACTCCTCTTTTCCTGTCCTGTGGACACTGCTGGGTTTTCTAAATTTGTTGAAATATTGAGTGCAGCACTTTCACAGCATCATCTTTTAGGATTTGAAATAGCTCAACTGGAATTCCATCACCTCCACTAGCTTTGTTTGTAGCACTCCTGTGCCGACCAAAAACATTTTCGCTGTGCTATGTCTCTTCAGTTGTGTCTGACTGTGAGACCCTGTGGACTGTAACCCACTAGGTTTCTCTGTCCATGGGATTTTCCTGGCAAGAATATTGGGGTGGGTTGCCTTGCTCTCCTCCAGGAGATATTCTTGACCCAGGGATTGAAACTTCATCTCTAAAGTCTCCTGACAGGCAGGTTCGATCCCTGGGTCAGGAAGATAGAAGAGTATTACAGATTTACCAAAAAATAATCATTAAAATGACAGTCTCAGTAGGCGAGTTAACAGATTAGAAATATTTGCAGGGAGAATTAGTGAGCTGGAAGACATGTATGAAGAATTGCTTAGATATGCGGCAGTGTGACAAGGAAATGGAAACCATGAGAATGAAGTTAAGAAATGTGGAATTTGGAATAGAATGCATAAAATTATCATGTCAGAAAGAAAGAGAATGTTTTAGGAAATGATGACTGAGAAGTTTTGAGAACTGCCAAAAGATAAAAAATGTTTGGAAAGTATGAAGACTCTCAAGCATAATAAATAAAATTTGTCCACAGTTAGAAATACCATTGTGAAAAAAAAACCTGAACAAAAGAAAACAGAAGATCATAAAAGCAGTCAGAGAGAAGGGAATGACAGATTCTGAAAAAGCAGACTTCTCAACAGTAAAAATAAAACACTAGGTGAGCAGAACAAAATCCTCAGTGTTGAGAGAAAATAATCACGGTCTAGAATTGTACATCCATGGATCAATTATACCAAGTGGGGCAATAGCATCATCTACATTGTTTTAATGCCAGAAATAGTTATCTTGAATCTAATCATGATTAAGCAACCTGAAAAAAAAGATAAAATCATGATGATGGGAACTTCTCCAAAGTTTTTTTTGTTTGTTTTGAAACCTAAAAAATGTCAATTTCATAAAATACAGACAAGAAACAAAACTAAGAACTGTTTCAGATTTTAAAAGGACTAGAAAGATACTATAACTATCGTAAACAATCCTTGATTGGATCCTTAATCTAAGAATAAAATATCTACAAATTATATTTGGGGCAAATAGGGAAATTTAAAGAAGTGTAAGTAAAGAGTGCACAACAGATCATGTCATTTTGGTGTGCTCAGTCTCTCAGTCATGTCCACTCTTTGTGACCCCATGGAGTGTAGCCCACTGTCCATGGGATTCTCCAGGCTAGAATACTGGGGTGGGTTGCCATTTACTTTTCCAGGGGATATTCCTGACCAAGGAATTGAACCCAAATTTTCTGTGTTTCTTGCATTGGCAGGCAGATTCTTTACCACTGAGCCACTTGGGAAGCAACATTAAATTCCTTTGGCAAGAAAGCTTGGTTATGATACAGATTTTCTTTGTAGGAGATAAACGTTGAACAGCCCTTATCTATTTGTCATTGTACAGATAAAGCTAAATAGAAATAAAAAGAATGGGTTAATTTAGGTGAAGTTCATACCAGAGTTTCTTCTACTATCATTTTAACTGTTATGAAGGTTTTATTTTTAAAAATAAGAAATTAATAAAAATGGATAAAATAAAACCTTTTCATGCAAGAACAATGCAGACAGTTTAACCTACAATAGTTGCACACTAAAGATGCTTCTAAAGACTTGTTCAGAAGAAAGGAATATGATTTCTGAGCAAAGTCTTAGAAGAAAGAAGAAACAGTGAGCTTAGAAACTGGCAAACATGGGAAATAACATATTGGCATAAACAGAGGCAGTTTTAAATACTAATAATATTGTCTATGTTTATGTGTTGGTCGTTCAGTGGTGTCTGACAGCCCACCAAGTTCCTCTGTCCATGGGATTCTCCAGGCAAGATTACTGGAGGGGCTTGTCATGTCCTCTTTCAGGGGATCTTCCTTACGCAGGGATTGAACCCACATCTGTTATGTCTCCTCCATGGCAGGCAGGTTCTTTACCGCTAGCACCACCTGGGAAGACCTATGTCTCTGGGGAAGTGAGAAATTAAAAATATCAGCTAACACTAACACCTTGTATTGGATATTCACTACATTTAGAGTACTCCAAAATTCTTATACTGTATTACTTAGATGTATGTATTCTCAAAAATTACAAAAGATAACAATGAAGTTTTTTAAAAGTTTAGGGGAATAAATGAACTTTTAAAATCACTCAGTCTAAATAAAATAAAGAAGGTAAAAAGAATAATAGGAAAAATCAAGACAAATAGAAATCCCCTGAGAAGGCATAAATAAGTCCAAATGAATTAGTAAGGAAAATAAATATGGACTGAACTCATCATTAAAATTCAAAGATCATGAATGTGGATTTTATAAATATAAATCAAGCCATTTAATATAATAGACAAAGATGAAAAAAGAAATGAAACGAGTAATAAGTAAATAAATAATGGCATAAAGAAGAATGTCATGCATAAATGAAAATGAATTCACAAGAGCTAATAGATTAATTATAGCACAGTAAAATACTGAGGCTTTACTGTTACTGTTGACACTTTATATTTGGTGGTTATATGTGTTGGTTGTATATTCTACATGCCTTTTGTAATATTAAATGTTATTTACACCCCCAAATTGCCTTTAAAGCTCAAGTTACAGACACACCACCTCTCTCAGCAAGTCAAAATGCTTCCAGTTTTACTAAATCAAAGCCACATCTCCTTTGCTAGACGTTAGAAGGCATTACCATTTTCAATATTAAAAGACAAATTTGTACTAAAACATATTCGGGATTATATAAACTAGAGATGTGAACAACCAGTGATGGTAACTCCAAACAGGACGCACAGGACTGCTGTCCCAAACTAAGGGCAAGAGGCACAGGCACACATATATACAATGATGGAGTGTTGCTCTAATTGGCAGCGATTTCTGTATTAATATACAGCAGATTTTTCTTGTGTCCCTTTCAATGATATTTTTTCCCCAGGTTTACTGATACATAACTGACATATAACATGTAAGTCTAAGGTGCATGATGTGATGATTTGATACCCAAATGCATTGTCAAATATTTATAGTAAGATTAGTTGACACATCTTTCACCTCACATAACTGCCATGTTATCTTTGTTATGGTGAGAACATGCAAAATCCTTTTAAAACCACTCAATCTAAATAAAAATAAAGATAAAAAGAATACTAGGAAAAATCAAGACAAATAGAAATCTCCTGAGAAGGCATAAATAAGTCCAAATGAATTAGTAAGGAAAATAAAAATGGACTGAACTCACCATTAAAATTCAAAGATTGTGAATGTGGATTTTATAAATATAAATCAAGCCATTTGATATAATAGACAAAGATGAAAAAGAAATGAAACAAGTAATAATTAAATAAATAATAGCATAGAGAGGAATATCACACATTAATGAACATTAATTCACAAGAGCTACAGTTTTCAATCCAAATTAAAAAGCATAATATTGAGGGAAAGAGCTTATTGATTAATTATAGCACAGTAAAATACTGAGGCTTTACTGATACTGGTGATGCTTTATATCTGGTGGTTATATGTGTTGGTTATATATTCTGCATGTGTTTTGTAATATAGAATGTTATTTACACCCCCAAGTTACCTTTAAAGTAGAGGTTACAGACATACCACCACTCTCAGCAAGTCAAAATGCTTCCAGTTTTACTAAATCAACGCCACATCTCCTTTGCTAGATGTTAAAAGGCATTACCATTTTCAAGATTAAAAGACAAATTGGTACTAAAACATATTTGGGATTATATAAACTAGAGATGTGAAAAACCAGTGATGGTAACTCCAAACAGGATGCACAGGACTGCTGTCCCACAAACCAAGGGCAAGAGGCACAGGCACTCACATATACAATTATGGAGTGGTGTTCTAATTGGCAGCTATTTCTTTTTTAATATAAAAGAGATTTTTCTTGTATGTCTTTCAGTGACATCCCCCCTCCTCAGGTTTACTGATATATAACTGACATATAACATGTAAGTCTAAGGTGCATAATGTGATGATTTGATACCCAAATACATTGTCAAATATTTATAGTAAGATTAGTTGACACATCTTTCACCTCATATAACTGCCACATTGTCTTTGTTGTGGTGAGAAGGTACAAAATCAACTTATACAGCACCTTTCAAGTACAGGACACAGAAGTGTTAACTGTAGTCACTATGCTGTACATCAGATCCTCAGAACTCATTCCTCTTATAACTGGAAGTTTGTGCCCTGTGACCAACATTTCCTCCAACCTCTGGTCCTTGGCAACCACTGTTCTACTCAAAGTTATTCTTAAATAAGGTAAATTATGGTTCTAGACCTGACTTTCCCTTTCTCCAAAGTGTTAACTGGTAACTACGATGAATTATTTCAGTTGCAAATCTTTCACAGAGCATTGACAATATCCAAGGCATTGTTTTAAACACTGATGTTCAAAGTGTTCCCAACTATCCTGGTCAGCAGATCCTGCTACTCATTTCCACTCCTGATTTTCTGGAAGAAGTTTCTCCTGGAGTTTGCAAAGAATCAAGAGATAAAATTCCTGGTGCATTTTTCTCATGTTATAGGCTTGGATTTTCTTTCCAAGACAGTGTAGAAAAATTTGACAAGAGTTAATTTTTAGAAAGCCCTATTTATGTTAAAATATTCTTTTCTGTGTGTGTTGCAAAGTGGTATTTTCCTTTCCCTACAAATGGGGGATTTGTTTTTATGGGCTGTTGGATTAAGAACCATTCTCATGAGAATCTTAAACACTGGGGAATAAGTTAAATGTATAGGTATTGAGGTTCCCAGTTGAGACCATTTAAATTTTTTTGTTCAGGTCTGTCCTTTAGGCACTTTGCACTTCTTTTCTCCAAGAGTTTGGGGGCCACCTGTTCCGACATATAGCTGATCTTGGATTTTGAAAACTTGGCTTTGCATCCTGGATTTTCCATTTACTCTAAGTATTAGTTTTTACCCTTACACATTAGACCTAATGACACCACACATCACTGCCTCACTGTTGCTGAAAGAGAGAGTGTGGAATGCACATACATGTATACACCTTTTGAACTGTGGAGGGTATTGCCATGAAAGGATTATCAGAATTATAATTCTGTTAGAAGACATCTCCAAATCTGTGTGCCCTTCTTTCTTCTTTCCCTGATGCACCTGTTTTCATTCTCACCTACCTGAAAGACTCTTGGGGCCTTACACAGCCAGGATCCTCAACTTGAATGCTGTTCCCATCATGAGAGATATTCACATGCCTCAGTTTGTTAACATGATTAACTCCCTGCCTCACTTTAAATGTTGCCAAAATATTGGCATTGCTGCTGAATAGAAATATGGAGACAGTGTTTTGGAGAAAAGACAGAGTAACTTTATTTCTTTGGCAGGCAAAGAAGGAATATGGAAGAACAGCACCTCAAGAACTGTGCCTTTCTCTCAGGGAAATAGGGAGAGGTTTTATAGTTCGGGTTCATGGTCTGGGGAAGGTGAAAAGGATCAGAGTGGTGAAAGTCTTGCATTCTTCCCTTCTTCTGTAAAATCTATGGTCAAAGCCAGCATCAGGTGGCTCAGTAACAGTTTAGTGCCTCTGAGGTTATATGCCTGTGACCATTTTGTTTTGAAACACAAGGCTGATACAAGGGAGCATAGGGGGAAAAGAATGCCAGGTGCAGAGTATAAATCATATGGAGTCAGAGAGTACTTAGTTTTGTGAAAGCCATATCTACCTATAAGTGTTTGTTAGTAGCAACAGCCAAAGAATAACACAGATTGTTTAACTCTTGCAGACCTGTTTGGCTGGCTTGTGTTTAAGGCCGTTTATTCATTTCTATTTTTGCTGCAACAATAATCCTGCAGTAGTCTTTAGAAGAAACCTCACAAGCATTACCCTATGGTTTTAGATTCACTGAAGAGGGTGAAGCATGGTAAGTAATGGTGGTCACCACTCACAGTTTCAGTGTAGGTTATTTGTTAAGTACAGTGAGGATTTGGGCAGTCAAATTCCAACTACTACACTGTCTGCCTACTTGGTAGATATTCAGGCAACAGCTTCACCCCCTCTCACTGAATTCCTTCCATGACTCCTTATTCTTTTGGGATAAAATTCAAACTCATTTTAGAGATCTCTTTTTATATTCTTGAGCTCAACTGCTGAGGGATTCTACAGAATTCAAATCCTTTCTCCTCTAGGAATTAGATGCCCTGTCAGGCACTCTGGCTGAACAAAAAAAAAAGCTGTTATAAATTCATATTTTATTGCCCCCTCTTCTTATATTTGGTAATCTCCAGTATTAAATGGCTATATTCATCTTTCACCTAGCTGGATGGGCGAGCAGCCGTGAAAATGCAGCTCGCCGCCCTGTCCTGACCACCTGCAGCACAGTAACCGACACAAAGGCTCTGACCGCTGCTGCCGTGGCCGTGACATATGCTGGAGTCCCCAGGTTGGAGGGGAGGGCTGGGCTGCAGGCTGGGGAGCAGACGGTTTCTCCCCTCTGTGCGCCCACCAGGACCTCTCCCCGCCCCCAACACTCCGGGAGCCGGGCCTCACTGGGTGTGTGCTCACCAGCAGCCCACCATAGGCAGTGGGCTTCCTCGTATGGGAGGTGGTCTTCCCAAAGACCCAGCACCAGCCTCAGCTGGACAGGTTTCTGACTGAAGAGGGTGATGGAGGAGCAGCGGGGACACCCTGGAAGAGACTCCTTCCCTTCCAGCTCGGCCATGGGCAGCGGCAGGTTCTCAGCCAGGTGGCTGCGGCCTGGGGGAGGCCCTTCTCCAGCAGGAACCCGTCCGGGGCCACGGACAGCGGGGGGAATGTCTCGCAGTCACTGGCAATGTCTGCTTCCAGACTCGCCCTTGTCTGTCTCGGCCTGTTCTTCCACCAGCTTTTCCTTCTCTTTATCGCAGCGTGCCTCAGGCTGGGGCTTCTCCAGCAGCTTCTCCAGGACCAGTGAGAGGGAGCCAGGTTGGCCTCCGGTCCCTGCTGCACACTGCTGCCTCAGGAGGCTTCTCTTCGCCCCGCCACCTGGGGACGGAACCCGGGACCCTCCGATGTTGGCAAGTTCTGCGCAGACGCGGCCTCCCGCCCCTCCCCTCGGTGTGTCCGACATCGCTCTGGCCAGTTAGTTTTATCTTTCTATTAAATCTATTTTAGTCTTGTTAGTAAAGCTATCCGCTCTTTGAGGGCGGAACACTAGCGTGTCCACAGTCCACGTGCCTCCAGCGCACCTTGGCCCCAGTACAAGGTTCGTTGCACTTTGGCCTACTCCCTTAGACAGGGCTGGGTTAAAGGAGCCCAAGCGAACTCGTTCTGCTTGTTGCTCCAGGCCAATGAATCCGGGGACGAGTTGTTGGAACAAGGGATAAAGACTCTAGTCAGAAAGCTAGCTGACAGAGAAATGGCAGCCTCACCTGTCAGAGAGCCAGCCTCCTTGCGTCAGAATGTGGGCGCCTTTGTTTATGGAAGGGGGCGGGGCTTACTGTGGCACTAACCAATGGCTGAGGGGGCCACTAACGGTCGCTGGTCGTCAGTTACTCACTAACGGCCTCCTTACTGGGGGAGGGGTTTACTGGCGCTGCCAACGGTGGAGCAGGGCTGCCCCAGCTTGTGCCCACCTCCTGGCCTCCGCGCCCAGAGCAGAAAAGTGCCAGAGCAGAAAGCGGCCAGTCAGAAGTACCAGCCGATCCGGCAGTCGTCCTCCAGCTCTCAGTGGAGCAAGTCACGCAGGCGGGAGAGCGACAGTGGCCGCGTAGACAGCGGAGGTGCCGTCAACTGGGATCAGCGTCTGAGGCGCCGGGCGCCAGGGGCTCACCCCACAGCCAGCCTGTGACCGCCAGGGTGGCCGCGGATGGGCAGCGGGAGCAGCTGGCCTGCCTGGTGGCAAGGGGGGCTGCAGGCGGAGAGGTGCAGGGGAGCGGCCCTGGCTTCAGCGGAGACGAGTAGGAAGGTGCAATGGAAGCAAAAGCCCATCACGTCTCAGGTTCGGAATACGGCAGCCACCACTACACTGGTGGCTTTTTCCCTCAGAAATTCCAGCCAGGCCTGGACCTTGTACCCTCTGTAGGACGGCTCTGAGATGTGTTTGGTGGCTTGAAGAGAGGGGAGAAAAAGAAAAAAAAAAAAAAACAGCAGCCCTTGAGAAAGAGGTGTTTACTGAACAGGCCCTCAGAGCAACTCTGGTGCTAGAGCTATAACAAAACCGCTGCTCTCAAGGAGCTGATGTTATTTTCCCGTTCTCCTTAAATTTTATGAAGAGCAAGGATATAGACTTACTCAGTCATTTGCCAGGTTTCTGTGTTAAAACTTATAGCTCAGAGAGATGAGATAACAAAAGATTTCAGATGGTGTTGAATACTGTGAAGGAAATAAAAGAGGTTAGGGCTTAGGGAATAACAGACTCTTGTAGTGGGGGAGAGAACAGGGATTTCATGTATCAGTTCGATTAGATAGAAGGGGACCGATATAATAAATATGTACACATCGTGCAAATATCTGGGAGGTCCAGATAGCTAGAACATCATGTTCAAAGCTGTTGGTGAGGGGAAGAAGAGGGTAAACAATGAGAACAGTTAGAAAACTGATGCAGTAGCCCATGGAAGCTCACCAGTGCCAGGCAAAGTACTGAACTCGCTAACATATGTTGCCTTTTTATGGTGGAGTGGTGGAGTCGCTCAGTCCTGTCCGACTCTTTGTGACCCCATGGACTGTAGCCCACCAGGCTCCTCTGTCCATGGGATTTTCCAGGCAAGAGTACTGGAGTGGGGTGCCATTTCCTTCTCCAATAGCCCAAATAATTCCTTGTATTTCAATCGATTATCTATGAAGAAGAGGTAATCTCTAGAAAGTAAGGAGCTCGCTCATGATCAGAGAGTAAGTGAGGAATAGATATACAACTATTAAGAGAATCCAAATCTAGAGCTGAAAACTCCACATTGTGGTTCAGGACAGCATTACTCTCTCATCTCTTCAGCTCTGCCGGTTCCTTCCTGCAAAAAAACATGTGTCAGAATGTAGATTCAGTTGGTGTGAGTCAACATTTGGGTTTGTTCCACTGAGACATAGACCAAAGTCACTCTTGTGCAGCCTTTTTCAATTGACTAAGCAAAGTGTTCCAAGTTGCAGGCTTTAACAATTCCTTTCACTTAGGAGTGTTGGTATTATTTTTTAATCTCCATATGGAACAGAGAGCATCAGGATTACAGCTGGATTCTAGGCAGCAATGACAAGAAATTTTTGGAATGCTTGTCAAGAGAAGAACAATTAACTATTCTTTAAAGCATTTATTGAATATCTGGTCACTGACAAACATTGGACTGGGCCTGGTGGTAAAATGGTAACAATACACAGGGTGGTCACTACCCTCATGGAGTTCTCAGTTTTCAGTGGTTGCACAGGCAGAAATAAATTGTATAAGTGAGGCACAGAGGATGCAGAGCTCATGAAGGGAGACATAACCTAGTCAGTTAAATCTGGGAAGATTTCCCAGAGAAAACTATGCCTATACAAATAATAGAAAATACTTTTATTATTTTTTATTGAAGTATAGTTGATTCACAATATTATTTTTAGTTTCAGGAGTACATCATGATGCTCCAGAAGTTTTACAGTTTATTCAGTTCAGTTCAGTTCATTCATTCAGTCGTGTCTGACTCTGTGTGACCTATGAACCGCAGTATGCTAGGCCTCCCTGTCCGTCACCAACTCCCAGAGTTTACCCAAACTCATGTCCATTGATGCGGTGATGCCATCCAGCCATCTCATCCTCTCTCCCCTTCTCCTCCTGCCTTCAATCTTTCCCAACGTCAGGGTCTTCTCATATGAGTCTGCTCTTCACATCAGGTGGTCAAAATATTGGAGTTTCAGCTTCAACATCAGTCCTTCCAAGGAACACCCAGGACTGATTTCCCTTAGGATGGACTGGTTGGATCTCCTTGCAGTCCAAGGGACTCTCAAGAATCTTCTCCAACACCAAGGTTCAAAAGCATCAATTCTTCGGTGCTCAGCTTTCCTTATAGTCCAACTATCACATCTAAACATGACTACTGGAAAAACCATAGCCTTGATTAGATGGACCTTTGTTGGCAAAGTAATGTCTCTGCTTTTTAATATGCTGTCTAGGTTGGTCATAACATTCCTTCCAAGGAGTAAGTGTCTTTTAATTTCATGGCTGCAATCACCATCTGCAGTGATTTTGGAGCCCAGAAAAATAAAGTTAGCCACTGTTTCCACTGTCTCCCCATCTATTTCCCATGAAGTGATGGAACCGGATTCCGTGATCTAAGTTTTCTGAATGCTGAACTTGAAGCCATCCTTTTCACTCTTCTCTTTTACTTTTATCAAGAGCCTCTTTATTTCTTCTTCAATTTCTGCCACAGGGTGGTGTCATCTGCATATCTGAGGTTACTGATATTTCTCCAGGCAATTTTGATTCCAGCTTGTGCTTCATCCAGCCCAGCCTTTCTCTTGATGTACTCTGCATATAAGTTAAAAAAGCAGAGTGACAATATACAGGCTTGACATACTCCTTTTCCTATTTGGAACCAGTCTGTTGTTCCATGTCCAGTTCTGACTGTTTCTTCCTGTCCTATATACAGGTTTCTCAAGAGGCAGGTCAAGTGGTCTGGTATTCTCATCTCTTTCAGAATTTTCCACAGTTTATTGTGATCCATACAGTCAAAGGCTTCGGTATAGTCAGTAAAGCAGAAATAGATGTTTATACCCCACTAAAATTATTGCAAGATAATGGCTATAATTTCCTGTGCTCTAAAATTTGTCCTTATTGCTTATCTAGAAAATTATTTTTGAATGCCTCTGAAAAGCCAAGGCAAAATACACTGAAGAAATGAAGTTGAAGTAATATTGAGGGAAATACTGGGACACTATTCCACTGGTATTCAGGCCTCCTGCTGTGTTCTTTAAACAGAAGCTCATTCCTGCCTTAGGGCCTTTGAACTTGACTGATGCCAGTGCTCCTTAGAATCTGATTGCAGGCTCCTTCATATTCTTCTTATGGTCACTTTTCCATGACCCTCCTTATTTTGATTAGTCCCTGCTTATCACTCTCAAAACACCCTTTTGTTTTCTTCAGGTGTGAATATCTTGGTTTATTCTTCCATTTATTTATTTAATTTTTTTCCTACTAGATTGTAAGCTTAAAGAACCTGGTCTCCTGGATCTCTTGATCAAGTCATCTGGTCCAAGTCTGACACATGGTAAGCCCTCAATAAATATTGAAGTGCTCAATAAATAATGAAGGATAAATGTTTGCACAAGAATGTTTATACTGAGTTAGTTTATTTTGCACAATGTTAACTATGTTTTATTCCCTTCACATAGCAAAATTCCAATAAAACTTCTTAAAGATGAAGCTGCTACACAATTCTTTATTGAAGATGAGAGATTAACTTTGTTTTTTGCATAATCTGAGGTTTAGTATTAAAAATAAGACCCTGGAAATTTACTTTGAAGCACATATAAATGATAGATTAATGGATAGAGAGACAGGTAGATGGATAGATATAAAATAGAATCAGTTTACTAAAGTGTAACTTCAAAATTTTGATTATGGCTGAACAGGTATATGTTCACTGGTAAATTCTTTCAACATGACTGTCTTTATGCAAATATTCATAAATGAATGTGGGAAAAAGTACCTGAGTATATTCCTCCTCTTGCCCGAGAATCCCATGGACAAAGGAGCCTGGTGGGCTACAGTCCATGGGGTTGCAAAGAGTTGGACACAACTGAGCGACTAACATACACATATTCCTCCTCTGAGGAGTGTTTACGTTTAATCTATACTTTCTGTGTCCTTCAGGTGGATGATTAACAGGGAAATACTCAAAAAATCCTTTACAATATATTGTTTAAGCAACAAGTGATATATTTGGTATGATTTCCAGTAGAGAGTTGTGCACTCACGTGGTTAATTGGAAACTGAGAAATCTAGAGCCCATGGCTCACTATTCCTCTGTCTTGAGATCTGGCTGCTGGTTCCAGGGGCTTGAGTAAAGTCAGAAGTGGGAGGTGACTCCCAGGTGTTACCTGTTGTAATAGGAGAAATCATTGTCTCACTTGTGACTCATAATCCTCTCACTGAAGGAAGTGTGCCCTCCACATCTTTAAGATGGTTCAGTGTCTTTCTGTCCTATGAATCTATTTGACCTTCTGGCTGCTCTTAATTTTGATGGGTCCAGGATGGGAGGAACCTTCATTACATTAATAATAACCAGCATCTGAAAGAGTGTTCCTGGCTTATGAAAGTATTCTATTTGCCTTACTTTATGATGCAAATACACCAGGTAATATTATGCACCCACCTATTTTACAGATCGAGGCAATGTGTGAGAGACATGGCCAATTTCACAGTAGAGTATTGAGCTGAAATTCAGACCGAGGTTCCTGACTTCTAATTCAATCAGTCACCCTTATATAATGCACGATTGAAAATGTAGGCAATTTTTCACTACCTGATTTTATCAAAAGGAGGGAGGTTATTTCAAGGAAACAGAGTATCAGAGAAAAGCCACAGGGAAAGTGAACTTTTCCCAGGTTGAAGTCATGCTATGTTATCCCAAAATCTCAAATCCATTTCTCCATTCTGTTCTTCCATGTTTTTTGCAGTGTCTGTCCCTTCTGAAAGATTAAATCTCTGCTTGATTCTCTCCCAGTGAATTTCTCTGAGGTGGATAATACTCTTTAAGGATTGGGGAGTGGAGACTAGCTAACAGTCATTCTTACTATGCTGCTGCTGTGTCTGTCATATGTTCTTTTTATCCCCCCCTCCCCAGGTGGCTGTTCTTAGTGAGGTGGAATGATAACTACTTTAATGCTTATTCCATCAGCTATAGGAAAGCTATTAGAGTTCAGATGTGCCCACTGCTCATGAGTTGTAATGCCACTTATTCCCCTTTACTTTTGGTTTCTTGAATGTTAATGAGTTTTGACTATGGAGTCAGATATCCCTGTGTCTGAAACTATACTCAACTTACCTGTGCCATCAGGCAAGTTGCTTGGTCTCCCTTAAGCCTCATGTTTTTATCTATAAAATGAGATTAATTATAAAACTTTCCCTTTGGAGCTGTTGTGAAGACTAAATGGAATAATATTTATGAAGGGTGCAACTCAGTACTTACTGCTTAGTAGATGCTCATAACTATTGCTAAGAATTTTAATAATTCACAGTTAGAATATAGACATGCTGCTCATAAATTTGATTAAATTCATCTTACTCTCTAATTAGAAGTAATTACATTTACACCATTTTGCCAACGAAGGTCCGTATAGTCAAAACTATGGTTTTTCTAGTAGTCATGTACAGATGTGAGATTTGGACCATTAAGAAGACTGAGCACCAAAGAATTGACACTTTTCAATTGTGATAGAGAAGACTCTCAAGAGTCCCTTGTATAGCATGGAGATTAAACCAGTAAAGCCTAAAGGAAATCAACCTTGAATATACATTGGCAGGACTGATGCTGAAGCTGAAACTTCAGGATTTGGCCACCTATTTTGAAGCGCCAACTCATTCATTGGAAAAGACCCTGATGCTGTGAAAGCCTGATGGTAGGAGGAGAAGGGGAGGATGGAGGATGAGATGGTTAGATGGCATCCCGGACTCAATGGACATGAGTTTGAGCAAACCCCAGGAGACAGCAAAGGACAGGGAAGCCTGATGTGCTGCAGTTCATTGGCTCACAAAGAGACGCAGCTTAGTGACTGAACAACAGCAACATTTACACACAGCTTTTTCTTCCTGCTTCCTCCCTCTCTTCCTTCCTTCCTCCTGTCACCTGAAAGAAAGGCACAATGTGAGAGCTGTGAGTTAAGTTTTGTTGGGGCAAAATGAGGACTCCAGCCTGGTAGAGAGCATTTCTGATAGCTCTTAGAAACTGCTCCAAAGAGGAACTGCTGCCTGACTTACAGTTTTGTATTTTTATCTGTGAAAAAAACTCAGTGTAGGGGATAAGGTAAGTGTCATATATGATTTTAGTGAAGGGGGCACCTGCAGTCATGCACACATTTTGGCAGAGGTTTGCTGCTAGTCATGAGGACCAAATTCGCCATTAATGAGTTTAGTGCTTTTCTGGATATAAAGAGATGTAATAACTAGGCTCGTAAAATCTTCTCCTGAAATTATCTAACTATCTGAAGACCTGTCCTGCAAGTTTTTCCAAGAGCACAGAGTGCCGCATTCATGTTCTCCACTCTAAATTTCTTTCAGAGGGTATTAACGTCAGCAGCTGCAGCAGCACTTGATTTATTCCTTGTAGAGGTATCTGTCAAGTGCCAATTTGTGGTTGACACTTCCTTCTTTCCCTCTTTCCTTTCTCCCCTCCAGCTCCCTCCCTCCCTGCCTTCCTTCCTTCTGCATGTCTTCACTGAGTGTCTCTATCATGTCAGGCAGTCTCTACTCTTATGGATATTGCAGGTTACAGTGGAAGACTAAGGAATCACACAAATGGATGTCAAAATATACCTCTAGTAATTACTACAGAGTATATCACAAGGAGGCCTTGAATTAATGGGGAGGCTTCCCTGAAATCTTTACCAAGCAAAGGCTCACTGCTTGAAGCACGTAGAAAGCAATACTATGGCACCAGCTTTTGAGAAGAGTGTTATTTTGAGGCCAACTGGCAAGGAGACATGGGAAGGGCTCAAATCTGTGTCTTAGATCTGGGGTTCAGTCAAACATTATGAGTTTGTGGAGGATGTATTAGTTAGCAGAAATGTTGGTGGAGCAGGTTTCAATTAGTGGACTTTGGAATGTGTCTGTTTATGATAGGATATGGTTGAAGCTTCAACCTGGGATCTTCTAGGATGGAGAGCCCTTCACTTCGAAAAGGATTCTGCCATTCAAGTTCTAGTCATGTCCTGATGCTTTGGTTCCCTGGGGGTGGTATGGAGACTTAGTTTTTGGGTGTTATTTGAGGTCAAACATTCTTCCTTGTGCCTACTTTGGCTGCCTGGCACTGAAGCTGAGGGAGGGAGTGGTACTATTTTGCCTGATGTCCGAACCCCCGAGCGGGAAGAGAGAAGGCTTCCAAGACAATGCAACTCGCAAAAAAGGGAAGTTTATTACTGACTCGAATCAGGGCTCCTGCAGCGCATCCAACACAGTGGTACGGGGTCAGAGAGCCCTGAGCAGAGGCAGTTACCCAAATTTATAAGGTATGCATAAGCAGCTAGTAGCTGGCTTAAGCAGATTGGTTACATGTTTGCAAAGCAATTTTATTGGTACAAACTTTCACGGGCTTTTGTTCAAACTTAGGCATCCGCGGGCTTTTTAGCTCTCCCTTTGTTTCTTACTGGGCACATATTGATTGGCTGGCTCCAGGTTACCTGATGGGGGTGGGGAATCCCACCATTTCATGGAAAACCTGAAACCCAGGTCTGGGCCGCCTGCCAGCCCTGGCAGCCCCACAGTACAAGGTGGGGCAGGGTTCCTGGAGGAAGGCCAATGCTGGTAGGCTGTTGGCAATCACCAGGTTGCAGATTGCAACTTTATTCCAAGAGCAATGGGAATCCACTGAAGAATTTCAGGTAGGACTGTAACATAACTCTCATGAGTCATTTAGCTTAAATGAGAGCCTGCCCAATAAAGCTACCTTTATTCATGTGGCCAGTGAGCAGAGGACAGACATGATCCACAGGATTGATCATCTGAATTCTTACACCATGCTCAGTGATCTGGGAAATTGTGAAAGTAATAGGCCTTGGTGTCCTCCCCTGGGAAGCTTATTGAACAAGCTGTTAAAAAAACAAAAATTCAATTGAGTAAATTTGAAAACTTCATTGACTTTATTCAATGACTTCTGTATCAAGCAGTATCCCAGTGAGTAATCAGAAGGGAGTTCTGAGGGGTTTGCAAATGGAAGCTTTTTATAGGGCGAAAGGAGAGGCAAGGAAGCCATCAGCAAAGTATATTTAGGGCAGACACCTTTTCTTGGGGGGGGGATTACAAGGGTTTTATCATGCAGATATATATATATATATATATATATATATATATATATATATCTTCTTTCTCTGGGCCAGGAGCAGGAATGGGGCAGGAGTAAAACACAACAGATTACCACCACATTGCCTACCCAAAAATTCCAGACTAGTTGATTAAGCTTACATTTCTGAGGAAGGCTGTAACTGCAATTATGTCAGGTATTGTAGAGGTTTTGTATCATGGACTTTAGCACAAGTGACACTTTTGGGGCCTGTGGTTTTCTCTTCAGTACCTGCACATCTGCATTATATTTCTGGATGCATGCAGTAAGCCTCCTTCCAGAGGGCTCCGAACTTCTTCAGGGCCCTGCAAGAGGAGCAGACAAAATCATCAGTGGGTGAGACTCAGGTCAAAGGAGCTACTTCATGGAACATTTGTTCTTTTAATACTTTACAACCTTGTCATTTTCAGCTATATCTGAAAGACCTCTTTCTATCTTGCCCAGTGGAGGGAGTCAAATACACTGACTTATGGTTTAGAAGGTGAGGTCACATTTTCTATATGGAGGAGACTGAGATTTTGTTTTATGCTTTTCTGTACTCCAAAGCATCCCTTTCATTTTCTCCAGTATTAGAAGAAAAAGCTCTGCTGAATCTCTATAAGATAAATCATATAACTGCAAACCAACTCATCCTGTAGCCACCTACCTCTCCTACTTTATAAAGTGAAACATTTTTCTAGGCTCTGGTGATACAGCAGTGAATAGGAGTGATGAGAGTCTTGTCCACCTGGAGTTCCTGGTCTGCATTGGGAGACACATATTACCCAAAATGCCATTTAATCATGATTGTGATAAAGGTCAGACATGAAGAGAAGCAAGCATGTGACAGGTTTAGTCTTGGGGGCAAGGGAGGACTGAGATGAAGAAAAGACCTTTCAGGTGAGCTTTGGAAAGTGAATGGAACTTGAGAAGGTGACAGGAGGGGGAAGGCAGCTTGGAAGATTATTCTAGGTAGAAGACAAGGTGACCAAGGATGTGTCATGGCAAGGGGCAGGGAGTTATATAGCAACTGAAGGGAGGTCAGATATCTGGAGGACACGAAAGGAGGAGAACAGTGGTAGAAAGTGAAGATGGATCACTGTTCATGGATCCAATCTGACCAGGTCTAGCCTTGATGGCTTATTTATTCATATTAATAAGATACTGTTTTTCCTTTTCCTAATCTTAAAATAAAAAATTCAGCCAAGGCTTTGGCTGTTAATTTGACGAGCACAGGATTCTCTATGGAACTGTGAATGCTTTAGGATAAGTATGGATCCTCAGTTCCTATAGGAAGAATCACCCCTGCCTGTCCTATCAGACCCTGAAAGCATCTTAGTTTGCAACCCTGGACCAGATGATTGGAGAGTCCCTCCCACTGGCTAAGTTGTAAAGCATATCAAGGCTCTGTGGATGATACAAATACAAATACAAAGACAAATAATACAGAACCCTGGTTTATAAGAAGCTTGAAATTTAGTAAGGCATGAAGGCATTTTCACTAAGAAGTACCTAGAAGGCAGCAGGTAAATGATAGGAGTTATTATTATCATTTCTGTGTTAGTGTTGTTCCTTCTAGGGCCTCATGTCCATACTGGGCACATGGATATTCCTTAATAAATAACTATTGACTGAATGATTCATAAAGCAGTGAAGAGTCTGGGGACCAGCAGTGAAGGGAAATGAGAGCTGTGGGTTGTGGGACTGTTATTACCTGGCAATATCTCCAAATGCCTTCAACATGGGCTTATTCACATACGGCAGTCCATGCTTGGCACACAGTGACTTCACCAGAGGTGCCACCTTGTGATAATTATGGCATGGCATTGTGGGAAATAGACTAGGGAAACAAAGAAAGGAGATATAAAACTTCTCATTCCTAAGGAGAGACCTAAAGTTCCCTTTCCCCTTTTACAAAATAAAATGATATCAGCCACACAGACCCAACCTTGACTTTTCACAATACTTTTGTTCTGGGAAGTTAAAAAACTTGCTGGCAGACTCATCTTATCCCTTCAGTTCAGTTCAGTTCAGTTCAGTTCAGTTCAGTCGCTCAGTCATGTCCTACTGTTTGCGACCCCATGAACAGCAGCATGCCCGGCCTCCCTGTCCATTACCAACTCCCAGAGTTTACCCAAACTCATGTTCATTGAGTCGGTGATGCCATCTAACCATCTCATCCTCTGTCATCCCTTTCTCTTGTTGCCTTCAATCTTTCCCAGCATCAGGGTCTTTTCAAATGAGTCAGCTCTTAACCCTCTACCAGCCTTGTGGGTGGCAAATGTTTAAGAAGAACTAAGAAAATATGTTTTGCCTCCATTAACTTTATTTTTGGCTTGATCCAATGAAAGTATACCATTTAGAACTTTCTGCCATTTAGAACTACCCAGAGGCCTGGAGATACTGAACCGCCCACTTGGCCCCTACTAATCTCTGTCTTAGTCTCTGTCTTTCTAACTTCCCTAGCAAGAATAGATAAATGCATATTAAGTCATGGTAAATAGCTAAAAGTCCCAGGAAAGGACTAAAAAGTGAGGAAAGATGGGTTTTTAATCCCAAGTTTTCATTAGTCAGCCAAATAACAGTCTTGGATGTAAACCTCTCCTTTAATAAAACTATGAACAATAGTCTTTTTTATTTGTTTGTTTTGTTGAAAATTTCAAGCCCTAATATGAGAAATAGCGTGAAAAAAATTCCTTGAACAAATAAAGGTCTTGTTCCTTCTTTGACTATCATAAACTCACCTGGTTTAGACAAAGAGAATGTGGAAAGCCTCTCCTTTGATACTCTGGAGAAATTGTTTTAACTTGCATCAAGGTGTGAACTATCCATTTCCTCTCTGTAACTGACCCATCAGTAAAGTATTTCCAGAAACCATGTAGAAATTGCATCAGGGACTCCACTTCATTAGTTATGTTGTAAACTTGGTGGGAAATAACCTCAGATATCCAGATGACACCACCCTTATAGCAGAAAGTGATTTGGAACTAAAAAGCCTCTTGATGAATGTGGAAGAGGAGAGTGAAAAAGTTGGCTTAAAGCTCAACATTCAGAAAACTAAGATCTTGACATCTGGCCCCATCACTTCATGGGAAATAGATGGGGAAACAGTGGAAACAGTGTCAGACTTTATTTGTTTGGGCTCCAAAATCACCGCAGATGGTGATTGTAGCCATGAAATTAAAAGACGCTTACTCCTTGGAAGGAAAGTTTTATGACCAACCTAGACAGCATATTAAAAAGCAGAGACATTACTTTGCCAACAAAGGTCCATCTAGTCAAGGCTATGGTTTTTTCCAGTGGTCATGTATGGATGTGAGAGTTGTACTGTGAAGAAAGCTGAGCGGAGAAGAATTGATGCTTTTGAACTGTGGTGTTGGAGAAGACTCTTGAGAGTCCCTTGGACTGCAAGGAGATGCAACCAGTCCATCCTAAAGGAAATTAGTCCTGGGTGTTCCTTGGAAGGACTGATGCTGAAGCTGAAACTCCAATACTTTGACCACCTCAGGCAAAGAGCTGACTCGTTGGAAAAGACTCTGATCCTGGGAGGGACTGGGGGCAGGAGGAGAAGGGGACGACAGAGGATGAGATGGCTGGATGGCATCACTGGCTCAGTGGACATGAGTTTGAGTAAACTCCAGGAATTGGTGATGGACAGGGAGGCCTGGTGTGCTGTGATTCATGGGGTGGCAAAGAGTCAGACACGACTGAGTGATTGAACTGAATTTAACTGAAACTTGGCTCTAAAGACACAGATAAGTAAATATTTGAATTATAATATAGTTAAGTTTGAACACAAGTTGTTTACTCAAGTGTCCTGATTTTTCTTAGGTTTTGCCAACAAAGCAAATGCAAAGAAATCACCAATTCCTAAGCCCATGAGAATCTGGAAACTGAGTCACTGATACTTTTCCAAGATTTCACTCCAATTACTCACAATTGTGACACTTCCTTCATTTCTTTCTTCCCTTATCTATCATTGTTGTTAATTGAAAAACAGCATCCTTTAGAGAATCCTGATTCATTCTTTTCCCTTAAGATTGTGAGTCTAGTGCTCCACTCTGGACTATATGGAGGACAGTTAGTAGTGACAGCCATTGCCCTTTATCGTGAACTATTTCTCTTACTCACTGGTGCTCAATTTGGAAGTTCAAGTGCCCAGTGAACCAGTCATTGAAAAAGGACTGTTCAACATTACAGGTGGCCAAGACCTGCAAAGGGAAAGCTTACATTAGACATAAATTGGCCCGTGTCGAACAAGAGATTTACTTACTCTTTTATTTACCCATCATTCAACAAGTGCTCATTGAGTATGCATTTTGTGTAACAAACCATGAGGGATACAAATAAGTCCCAGGTCTCAGGGACCTTACAATTATAAAGGAAATAAGACCTTTTGCTAAGAAGTATAGATAAGGCAATAGATATGAAGAAGTGAATAGGATCTGAGAGGACTAAGTCACTATCAGCCCTCAAATTCAGAAGACTAAGGTGTCATCAGCAATCAGGGCAGAAAAAGAAGTAAAAGGAATCCAGATAGGAGAAGAAGAAGTGAAACTCTCTCTGTTTGCAGATGACATGATCCTCTACATAGAAAACCCTAAAGACTCTACCAGAAAATTACTAGAGCTAATCAATGAATACAGTAAAGTTGCAGGATATAAAATTAACACACAGAAATCTCTTGCAATCCTATACACTAACAATGAGAAAACAGAAAGAGAAATTAAGGAAACAATACCATTCACCATTGCAACAAAAAGAATAAAATACTTAGGAGTATATCTACCTGAAGAAACAAAAGACCTATACATAGAAAACTATAAAACACTGATGAAAGAAATCAAAGAGGACACAAACAGATGGAGAAATATACCGTGTTCATGGATTGGAAGAATCAATATTGTCAAAATGGCTATACTACCCAAAGCAATCTATAGATTCAATGCAATCCCCATCAAACTACCAATGGTATTTTTCACAGAACTAGAACAAATAATTTCACAATTTGTATGGAAATACAAAAAACCTCGAATAGCCAAAGTAACCTTGAGAAAGAAGAATGGAACTGGAGGAATCAACCTGCCTGACTTCAGACTCTACTACAAAGCCACAGTCATCAAGACAGTATGGTACTGGCACAAAGACAGAAATATAGATCAATGGAACAGAATAGAAAGCCCAGAGAAAAATCCACGAACCTATGGTCACCTTATCTTCAACAGAGGAGGCAAGGATATACAATGGAAAAAAGACACCCTCTTTAACAAGTGGTGCTGGGAAAACTGGTCAACCACCTGTAAAAGAATGAAACTAGAACACTTTCTAACACCATACACAAAAATAAACTCAAAATGGATTAAAGATCTAAATGTAAGACCAGAAACTATAAAACTCCTAGAGGAGAACATAGGCAAAACACTCTCCGACAGAAATCACAGCAGGATCCTCTATGACACACATCCCAGAATTTTAGAAACAAAAGCAAAAATAAACAAATGGGACCTAATTAAACTTAAAAGCTTTTGCACAACAAAGGAAATTATAAGCAAGGTGAAAAGACAGCCCTCAGATTGGGAGAAAATAATAGCAAACGAAGCAACAGACAAAGGATTAATCTCAAAAATATACAAGCAACTCCTCCAGCTCAACTCCAGAAAAATAAATGACCCAATCAAAAAATGGGCCAAAGAACTAAACAGACATTTCTCCAAGGAAGACATACAGATGGCTAACAAACACATGAAAAGATGCTCAACATCACTCATTATCAGAGAAATGCAAATCAAAACCACAATGAGGTACCATTACACGCCAGTCAGGATGGCTACTATCCAAAAGTCTACAAGCAATAAATGCTGGAGAGGGTGTGGAGAAAAGGGAACCCTCTTACACTGTTGGTGGGAATGCAAACTAGTACAGCCACTATGGAAAACAGTGTGGAGATTTCTTAAAAAGCTGGAAATAGAACTGCCATACGACCCAGCAATCCCACTTCTGGGCATACACACTGAGGAAACCAGATCTGAAAGAGACACGTGCACCCTAATGTTCACTGCAGCACTGTTTATAATAGCCAGGACATGGAAGCAACCTAGATGCCCATCAGCAGACGAATGGATGAGGAAGCTGTGGTACATATACACCATGGAATATTACTCAGCCATTAAAAGGAATTCATTTGAATCAGTTCTAATGAGATGGATGAAACTGGAGCCCATTATACAGAGCGAAGTAAGCCAAAAAGATAAAGGCCATTACAGTATACTAACACATATATATGGAATTTAGAAAGATGGTAACGATAACCCTATATCCAAAACAGATAAAGAGACTCAGATGTATAGAACAGACTTGTGGACTCTGTGGGAGAAGGCGAGGGTGGGATGTTTCAAGAGAACAGCATTGAAACATGTATATTATCTAGGGTGAAACAGATCACCAGCCCAGGTTGGATGCATGAGACAAGTGCTGGGGCCTGGTGCACTGGGAAGACCCAGAGGGATCGGGTGGAGAGGCAGGTGGGAGGGGAGACCGGGATGGGGAATACATGTAAATCCATGGCTAATTCATTTCAATGTATGACAAAAACCACTGCAATGTTGTAAAGTAATTAGCCTCCAACTAATAAAAATAAATGGGAAAAAAAAAAGACTAAGGTGTCATGAGTAAGGACTTTGGCAGATGGAATTGGGATTGTAGGACTCTGGTAGAAATTATAGGAGTTTGAATATTATTACCACAGAATAGACTTAAAGGACTTCTGAATGAGGAATAAAGCATTCAGGGGCTTTAATCAAGGATTTTGTGCATAGAAATAAATTTATTAATATACACAAGTAGCTTCCTTTTTAATATAATGTATTTTATTTTATACAAAGACAGATTGAGAAGAAGTTCATAGGATTCTCCAGACTACTTAGAATGCTTATGAATGTGATTTTATTCAGTGCCTTTCTAAGATTTAATTCTTGTTAGGGTTGTTGCCATTTTGAAAGCTATTTTTGCAGTTGTTCTATGTCAGGGTTCCTCGAAGTATACTTTAGAGCACCTTGGGGTTCCCTAAGACACTTTCAGGGGATCTTCAATGTCAAAATGATCCCCATAATACTTCTGAGACAGTATTTGCCTTTTTCATTCTCATTCATGCATGCTTATAGGATGGGTTTTTCCAGAGGCTATTAAACATGGGATGATGTCATCACTCTGATGTTAACTTTTATTGGCTTTATCTTGTTATTTTAAAATTAATTAATATATAATTTAAAACTCTCAGTTTCAATTTCAAATACAGTAAGTGTCAGTGGATATAACCTCCACAAACAAAAGCTCTTTGATGTGCTCAGTAAGTTTTAAGAGTGGTTTCTTGACCAAAGAGTTTGAGAACCACTATTGTGTGTAATGTCCACTGAATTTGGAAATGGGCATGGAGAAGGAAGCAGTATGATGACTGGATTCTCCACTTAATCATGGCACAGCCAGTGTCAGGCTTAGGAGGCAATGGTATTCTGCATGGGTTGCAAATCTTTTAATAGTTAACAGCATGCTCTCAGAGAATGCTGAATCTCTTTTCTGGGCCCCACCATCTATACAATGAAATGAGGGGAATTACAGGGTTCTCCCTTCTGTTATTCTAGGAGTGTGAGATTCCTTGAAAGACTGTGTCATGTTGAGGCAGGTTTAGTAAACCTTGCCTGTAAAGTGTCACACAGTAAATGTTTTAATTCTGCATCACAGCTATGCAGTTCTACTGTTTTAGCATGAAAGCTATCATAGAGAATAGCTAATGTATGAGTGGCTGTGTTCCAATAAAATTACAAAAACACAGACTGGGCTAGATTGGCCCTATGACTGTAGTTTATTAAGCCTTGGTTAAGAGCAAAGGTTCTGAAATCAAACTGCCAAGGTTTAAAACCTGCTTCTAGGGAACTCCCACTGGTCTACTGTTTAAGACTGTGTGCTTAACACAGCTTTGATCCCTGGTAGGAGAATTAAGACCTTGCATGCCACACAGTGTGGCCAAATAAATACATAAAACCTGCTTCTACCACTTATCAGCTGTATGATCTTACACAAGTTATGCAACTTCTTCATACCTCAATTTTCTCATTTGTAAAGTGGGAATACTCTGAGCATGTAGCTACAACTAATGTAACTACATGCAAAACAGTTGACGTGCCTGGCAAGCCTCCAATAAATATTATATGAGGTAAGCAGATGGTAATCAGGATGCTTTGGTGGATGCTTTCCCAAGAACAGCATTATTACCTGAGTGCTGAACCAGTCCTGGTTCTCCTTGTTGCCCATTTTCATTGGTATGTGGCTCATCTGGGTAACATATGTAATCCAGGGACTCTCAAGAAACCTTTAAGAGAATAAAAGGAAGATGTGATCACTCCTTGGGGAGTTTCAGCTCCAGTCACTGGGCTTGCATAACCACTGACAGATCTGGCAGAGCATTAGAGGAAAGGGCAGTGACTCAAAGGTTCCAATAAAGTGGTGGTTATTTGTTTTTCATCTTTGCAGACCTTTTATATCTAAAGATGACACGCTAGGTATCAGTCACACTCCCTGTCTTGCAGCCTACTGTACCAGAGCAGTGTCTCCAGTGTTTTCTGAAGGCCTTGGTGCAAGGCTCAGAAAATAACCAGATAACTGAAGGTCAGGCTTCCCTGCTGGTTCAGCGGTCAAGATTCCATCTGCCAGTGCAGGAGATCCAGGTTTGATTCTTGGGTCAGGAAGATCCCTTGGACAGAGAAATGGCAACCCACTCCAGTAGTCTTGCCTATGAAACCCCCAGAGCAGAGGAGCCTGGCAGGCTACAGTCCATGGGATCACAAGAGTCAGACATGACTTTGTGACTAAAGCAACAACGACTTAAGGATATATGTAATGTGATTAACAGCTAGGCTGTTGTCATCAGATAGAACTGGGTACAAGTTGCGATTTGACACTGCCACTGGCCCTTATTTGCTCTTGAGTAAGTGATTTCATTTCTCTGAACTTTAGTTCTCTTACCGGAAAAGTGAAGTTGATACTATCTTCATTGCCTGGTTGTGCATTGTTTATACATCAAATAAGATAATGCATCTAAAGGAAGTGAAGTCACTCAGTCATGTCTGACTCTTTGTGACCCCGTGGACTGTAGCCTGCCAGGCTCCTCTGCTCTGGGGGTTTCACAGGCAAGACTACTGGAGTGGGTTGCCATTTCCTTCTCCGGGGGATCTTCCTGACCCAGGGATGGAACCCGGGTCTCCCACAATGCAGGCGGGTGCTTTACAGTCTGAACCACCAGGGACGCCCACAATGTGAAGCCTTCAGCAAACGGCCTAACGCAGAGGAGCCGCCGCTGCCGCTGTGAGAGTGATGCGGCGGGACGCCCACAGTGAAGCCTTCAGCAAACGGCCTGACGCGGAGGAGCCGCCGCTGCCGCTGTGAGAGTGATGGGGAAGGACGCCCACAGTGTGAAGCGGAAGGACGCCCACAGTGTGAAGCCTTCAGCAAACGGCCTGACGCGGAGGAGCCGCCGCTGCTGCTGTGAGAGTGATGGGGAAGGACGCCCACAGTGCGAAGCCTTCAGCAAACGGCCTGACGCGGAGGAGCCGCCGCTGCCGCTGTGAGAGTGATGCGGCAGGACGCCCACAGTGTGAAGCCTTCAGCAAAGGGCCTGACGGGGAGGAGCCGCCGCTGCCGCTGTGAGAGTGATGCGGCAGGACGCCCACAGTGAAGCCTTCAGCAAACGGCCTGACACAGAGGGGCCGCCGCTGCTGCTGAGAGTGATGCGGCGGGACGCCCACAGTGTGAAGCCTTCAGCAAATGGCCTGACGCGGAGGAGCCGCCGCTGCTGCTGAGAGTGATGCGGCGGGACGCCCACAGTGAAGCCTTCAGCACACGGCCTGATGCAGAGGGGCCGCAGCTGCTGCTATGGATAGTAATGCAAATGCATCAGGAAGGAATACACTGCGAAGTTGAACAGGGTTATTCAGTTTAAAGTCCTTTTGATTTGGGGGAAATATCTAATCATAAAATAATTTTTTAAAAACTTGGCTCCTATTATCTTTGGTAAGAATTATGATGTCCAGCTGGATTACAGTTTGAAGGACTTGGTGATCAGGTAGAATACAGTTGTCCTTTGAGAAACACGCAGGTCCACCTAAATGTGGATATTTTTAAGTAAACACACAGTACTACAAGATTAGTGGTTGCCTGAATCCACAGTTGTGGAACCACATATTGGATAGATGACTATGGAGCTTGAATATCTTTGGATTTTGGTAAATGAGGTGGGTCCAGGGACTGATCCTCCTCAGATGCTGAGGGACTAGTATACTGCAATTGGGAATTAACCACGTGGGAAAAAAAGGGATTATTGGGAAAAGTCAGTTTCCAAGAAACTCATTCAACTATTTCAGCTGTTTTATCCCAGATTTTCTTGGAAATGTTTCCGTTACAAGAATGCAGTCAGCTGTCATAATCTGCTGATCATTGCTAATCATAAATAGATCAGATAAGAAAAGTAAGAGGGCCATCCAGGTAATAAGAGTAGAAGAATATTATTGTTTCCTTACTTGACGAAATATATGAGCAGCATGGTTCCGTAGATTCCATAGAAAGGGCCAAATGTGATGTAATAGCGGATATAAAAGCTGATGACCCAGGCAATGTCCTACGGAAAGAAGTGTTTGAAAGTTAAGCTAGTGGAAATAAAACTGGCTAAATCTTATATCCTGGTACTCAAGGAAGCTACATCTGGAAAGGACCAAGCATTCACATTTCCCTATTTTCTACCAGCCTGATCTAGATCTACAGAAGGAATAGAGTTACTCACCTCCCAGTCCCTTCTGCGGTACATCAGTAGAAAGGATTCCATGTTGAGATATACCGGTAAGAAAAAGGGGGCCCAGACTAAAGAAAAAAACAACAACAAAAAAAACCAAGAATATGGTGAACAAATGAGCTGATATGATTCCTGTGAAAGCTAGTGGGAGTTTATCTCCTTAAAATGCTACCCCTGGAATATTGCCCCTGAGAAGGGATGCAAGGTAGAGATCCACAAGCACATCCTGGATGCGGCTGGGTTTTAGAGTCTCTGAAGCTGAACCAGGACTTTGGTTCAAGCTCCCTTAAGGAGACTAGGGAAGCTTTGAAGATCTGAGTCATTCCTGATGAAGGCATCCTGGAAAGGGCTTCTGCTGTGAGCTTTCAAGTTTTCTCAAGGCCCCTGGAATCCTTCAATCCTTTACAATCCTTCACGTTGGGCCCTGTCACAATATGTTGAGGTAGCAGATATAGAGCAGGCATACTGAGTCTGGCCAGATAATTATTTACCTGCCCCTTCCCCAGGACCAGTGAAGTTTCCTGGAGCACGTAGGAGTCATATGGAGACCCTTCAGACTTTGACAACTCTCTCCTTGATCAAACTTGAGCCAGATGCTCTGGAGTCCCCTTCCTGACTAGGCTTCACACTTGACCTGTGAACTTTCAAATCTGCAAACTGTCAGCACAAATGATTTTGTCCACCCTACACACTAAGAGACTCGCACAAATGCTAGAAATCGTTTCTAAGAACAGTTCAAGGCTGTGCTCCTGGGATGACTCCAGTCCACTTAAAATTTTGGCATGAGAAAGTTCAAGACTGTCCGAAGAACTTAATGCCTGGTCAGTAGGCTTCTGACCTTCTTTTTCTTCGTTCATATGTTAGAAAACTTACAATTATAAAATTCTTACTCTGTCCCTCTGAGATGGATCTTCCCTGACCCAGAAATGTCTTTCTCAAGGACTTAGGAGTCATCTTTTTGAAGTACAATCTTGGAGGATCGGGCTCTGTCTTGCAGCCTTTGGGAGGGTAAGGAGTTTGACTTTGATAAGCGCCAGTGAGAAGACACACATGGCTTAACCACATGACCAGCTTCCCCTCCCTTTATCCTCTTTCCCTAATTTCCTTTAGCATATCCCAGTGTTTTAAAAGTCTCCCACCTTTCATTTCTGAGAGTTGAGCTCAGCTTATACTGAAGTACCTTTCCCTACTACAGGAATCTGCATGAAAGCTCTCTCACCACCTTTATGAAATGTCAAGCTTCATCTCCCTTTGACGGGTTGAGTAGGACTCATATGTACCTGTCATACTAAGTTGAAGACATTTGAAAGAAAATGACAAAATGAAACAGCTCCTGAGGACGATGCGGTTTGTAAGCTGGGCATTCTGCAGGGAAGCTACAATATTCATCCATTCCTCATAAGCTAAGGCTGTATTTTTTTACTACACACAGGAGGAGAGTTCAGACAAGAGACCCCAACAGTTTTTTTCTTATGTGAATACACATCTGTCTGTGCTGGAATAGTTACCTTTCAAACTGGGGAACCAGTGCCCTCCACACCCTTTTTGGTCATGAAAGAGAATAACCGCATTAGGAGAAATCCTCAGATTCTAGCACTGGAAGAGGCTGCAGTGGTGGTTGAGCCTCGTGTCTCAGAAAACAGACTCACAGGCCATCCCGGTCAGGGGAGACAGATGACCCCTGGTGGCCAGTGTCTGGGCGAGCCAGATCATCTGCAACCATTTCTCAATCTTAACACTGTTGGCAGCTTAGGGTCAGATAATTCTTTATTGTTCAGGGCTGTTCTGTGTAACATCTTTTATAACATCCCTGGCTTCTGCCCCATGGATGTCAGTACCATTCCCCCCGCCCACCTTTGTTGCAGTAATTAAAAAAGTATCTATATGGTGTCAAACGTCCCACTGGGGGCAACTATGCTCTTAGGTGAGCACCACTGATCTACAGGAAATGTTTGGAATCTTCCCTAATTTGAATTTCTTTTGCAAATGAGTAATCATGTTTTAAATGAGCATATTTTGGGGTCCTACACTTTTCTTTTTGAGCTATCATCAGTTTGACTTCATTAATAGCAAAACATTTTTGCTTCTAATATTTTCATTGGTATTAGCATTATTCAGCTACCCTATTTTCTCTCAAGCCTAATCACTCTTCTATTTTCCTTTTCAGATTTCACCCTGGTAAGTCTGAAATAAAACATGCTGTTTTTTTGAGGCACAAGACATGATCAGATCATCTCTCTGTGGGAGGATTTCAGTCATGCCTTCTGGCTTGACAGCCTTTTGCTTCAAGGAAATGGGATGATAAGGTGACTGACCCACATGGAAGTACAGGTGCTGCTTCTCATAGTCGATGTATTTGATTTTGTTCTTGCCATACTGAGTGAAGAGAGAATAAAACTAAAATAACAATGTAGACTTGTTATTATACTCAAAGTTGTGTGTGTGTGTGTGTGTGTGTGTGTAGAATCTCTATAGAAAGAGTCATCTGGTCAGAGTTCATTTATTATCAAACAAGGCACTGAAGAACCAGAACTGAAGGGGAGCAAATATTATGGTGCCTTTTTCTTTATTTAAATGTGGGCAATTCTTGCAGGGATGGTTCATTTCATTTGACATCAGGGATTGTTATCATTTATTATTATACCCATGGGAGCCATTTTGAAATTTTTTCCCTGGTGTGCAATGGAATGGTGATGGAGGAGAAATATTTCTGATAAGTTTTTAAGGTCTTCTTCAACCTATGTGCTTAGAATTCTGCTTGAAGCTCAGTCTGCTTGTATCCATTCATCCACTTAACAGACATCTGTTGAATTGTTGTGTTATAAAACACATAGTCATAACCTCTAGTATCTACTTCATCTTTCCTCCTTTATTTCCATCGTGGATCTCATGCTGTGATTTACTCATTTTAAGGCATGATCATATATAATCTTACCACTGCCAATTTGAGTCATTTCCTAGGGGTCTTCTTAGTTAATTTAGTCTGTGCCCAAATGCACAAAGGCAGCAAATATCTTGAGAGGAGGTATAGAAGTAATGGCTTATCTCTATTACCTAAAAGACACTTAATAAACATTTAGTTGAAGGAATTAATGAATGAATGATAATTCAAATCTCCTCTATAATTTTACCATATGTTCAGTCAGTTAAAACACTGTAAGTCTTGTTTAATTTTTTGCTTTTCCCATTCTTTGGGTATCATCCCTTCTACATATGTCTTCTGTTATTTGGATATTAGACTTGACCCTTCTTTCTCTTACTATTGTAAATAAAAATAAATGTCATGATGATAAAGTAATGATAGCTATTTGCAGTTACTCCCAAGCTTCTGGATATTTAAGTGGTAGGAAACTTGAAAGAGGGAGCTGGTGGGAAATTTTGGAAAGTTGGTAAATGTAGGTGAAGGATTGATTTTTGAGTATTGATACAAAGCAGAAGTCTAACTTTTCCAGAGTACGAGAACAGGACCTGGCCATAGAGGATTTAATTAATACTTGTTAAAGGAATGAATGTTTGAAGAAAGTGGTAAAAAGACTGATAGTAAAATGGGAAGAACAGAAATATTTAGGGCTTATCAGAATTAGTTTTGTTGCAAAACAACTGAATATTAGAGATTAAATGATTTTAAGTAATGTGTTGTGCAGTTGCTTTGAAATTATAGTATACAGAAACCTAAGGCTCGAGGGATATGCCTCTAGAATGATGGAGAAGTGATGATGTCTCCATCCTCTGTGAAAAGGCAGCATGTGAACTGGATACAGTTCTACAGAAGGCACTTCTGGAGGGGGTCAGGCTGCCTCATGAACTCCAGTGAGACAAATCTCCATTGCTGTGAGGGAATGAGGAGAGAAGTCAAAATGTCATAAGTTTAGTGATCAGCGGAGGAGTTCACAGGGATTCCCTGGTGGATCAGCCTGTAGAGAGTCTGCCTGCAATGTGGGAGACCCAGGTTGGATCCCTGGAGAAGGAAATGACAACCCACTCCACTATTCTTGCCTGGAAAATCCCATGGGTGGAGGAGCCTGGTGGGCTACAGTCCATAGGGCCTCAAAGAGTCAGACATGACTGAGCGATTCACTGCAGGAGTTCACAAACTTTAGAGAGCTCTGACTTGTTTGTGGAGTCATGGTAAAAAACAACTGACTGAAGACTACAAGGTTTCTTTCTTTCTTTCTTTATATCTTGGCAGGAGACTTTTTCTCCTAATTGGAAGAAGGTTGTCTTCCCAAACTGGGAAAACCTAGTTTGAGAAAGTCACACAATTCTGCTTACCACAAAGTCCACACAGCAACTGACTAAGCTACACTACTTTGTTTTTAGAAAGCTCCTAAATTCTTCCAGAAGGAGACAAAGCCTCTTCCTAAGCACTTACTTATCGGGATCCATCATTTCCTCTTAAGGAAAGATACCTTTCTGTGGTTATCCTTATACCTTCTATCTTGAAAGCAGACTCTAAAAATCTTGGTAATTAATCCTTACATGCTGGTTTTTAAGCTGAGGTTTAAGAAAGTCAACAGCTGAGACATTCTGGAGTTTGCCGTCCTTTATCTGTTGCTTAAGAAGTCTGAATTAGAGGCGAGGTCCTAAGTGTATTATGAGGCATTTGAGCTGAGTTTCATGTGTAAATGAATCAAAATGAACCTAAACTAAAAATAACAGCTTCGTTTCTTCCAACAGCTAGAATTAGTTGACATAACTAGATATGTAGGTGTTTCCTGATTTAGCACTCGTTGAATGTACTTCCATGCCTCCTGTGAGTGATTTAGCCTGAATGACTTTTAAGATCATGGATCATTCATCCCACATTTTCTTCTTTTCTTACAACACCAGATTCACTTATTTCAAATCTATATCCTGGACTTAAAATAAAAAGAGATGCTCTGAATATGTGCTTGAAGCCAGAATCTCCAGGCTGATCTCCTCAAGACAAAGGTGTAGACCTTTCCAAGAACCACTTTCTGAAACATTTTTCTAGTGCTTAGGATTTCTAAACATACCTGGATAGGTTGGAAATCTCCCACAAGAAATAATGGGCATCCGCTAATATCTGGGTCTTTGGAGTAGATGTTTGTTTTGACATGGTGTAGGAAGTGCCAGTTATTCCACCATTTGGCAGATAGGCCCTGAGGAGAAGAGAACATTCATTAGCTGCAAGATTTCTCTCCTGAAATATCTTTCATTATCAGAGTTTTCCAAAACTAAAGAAAATCAACCTAAAATATTCATTGGAAGGACTGATGGTGAAGCTGCAGCTCCAATACTGACCACCTGATGAGAAAAGCCAACTCACTGAAAAAGACCCTGATGCTGGGAAAGATTGAGGGCAGTAGGAAAAGGGGATGACAGAGGATGAGATGGTTGGATGGTATCACCGATTCAATGGACATGAGTCTGAGCAAACTTTATGAACTGGTGAAGGACAGGGAAACCTGGTGTGCTGTGTTCAGTTCAGTTGCTAGTTGTGTCTGACTCTTTGCAACCCCATGAACTGCAGCATGCCAGGTCTCCCTGTCCATCACCAACTCCTGGAGTTTACCCAAACTCATGTCCATTGAGTTGGTGATGGCATCTAACCATTTCATCCTCTGTCGTCCCCTTCTCCTCCTGCCCTCAATCTTTCCCAGCATCAGGGTCTTTTCAAATGAGTCAGGTCTTCATATCAGGTGGTCAAAGTATTAGAGTTTTAGCTTCAACATCAGTCCATCAAATGAACACTCAGGACTGATCTCCTTTGGGATGGACTGGTAGGATCTCCTTGCAGTTTAAGTGACTCTCAAGAGTCTTCTCCAACACCACAGTTCAAAAGCATCAATTCTTAGGCACTCAGCTTTCTTCACAGTCCAACTCTCACATCCATACATGACTCCTGGAAAAACCATAGCCTTGACTAGACAGACCTTTGTTGGCAAAGTAATGTCTCTGCTTTTTAATATGCTGTCTAGGTTGGTCATAACTTTCTCTCCAAGGAGCAAGCGTCTTTTAATTTCATGGCTGCAGTGCTGTGTTCATGAAGTCCCAATGAATCGGACATGACTAGCGCCTAAATAGTAACAATCAGAATTTTCTGCCTGCATCTCCAAAGTTTAATTAAGATATGAATTCCTAGATCATGCCACCCCTCATTCCTGGGTCACAGAATGATTCATTGGATAGAGGCTCTAAAATCCTACTAGCAAATAATTATCTTATCCAGGAACACAAATTCCAGGCTAAAACAACTCCTGATAATGAAGAAGAATAAAAACTGTTAAAATGAAATATTTTTCCATCTTTCTTTTTATTGTCCTCATTTTAAAAAGAAATATGAAATAGTTAGGTAGAGCAGAGAGTATACTTCTTATTTTATATATAAAGAAATTTCAGCTCTAAAACTATTTAGTTCTGTGGGGAAAGTGACCCCAGGGTTCCTACTTCAATGAATATTTTAAAGAGTCATGGTTCTGAAGTCACCTCCTATAGGGGCTTGCCTCTGATCATCACATGTTCAAGCTTTGATGATCTCATTAAATATAAACAAGAATAAAAATATTTTAGTTGATGCTGAGCTCATATAATTTCTGATTAGGTTGTTTGGGATTTTTTTTCTCTTTCAGTGAAAATCTGAAGGTTTTAACAGAGAAAAGGGTTTGGAAGTACATCAACTTAGTTGCATCCACTGGATGTATAAATCTTTCTGTGTGGTTTGGGAAAATTATCTACCCTTTGATGTTCAATTTCATCTTCAGTAAATATTGTGTAATATAATGACATTTACCTGCATGGGTTGTTTGAGGAGACATGAGATGCTGTGTGTAGAACACTGGCATATTGAGATATTCAATTTCTCTTCCCTTCCCCTATTATGTTAATCATTTATAGAAGAATAAGCAGTAGTCATAGTTTTTATTGCATATCTGACATCTCTCAAAGCTTGATTAATATGTATTTTACATCTGCAGTGCTCAATGGAGTAGCCATTATGTACGTGTGGCCACTGAGCATCTGAGCACTCAAGCTGAGGCGGGCTGTGTAAGTCTGTAATACATACTAGATTCAAAGCCTCAGGATGAAAAAGAAATGTAAGCTATATTAATAATTTTTATATTTCTTTCATGTTAAAATGAAAATATTTGGAATATATAGAGGAGTAACAAAGTTGGAAGAGGGTGTTTGCTGTGACCAGTGTGTTCTCTTGGCAAAATTGTTGACCTTTGCCCTGCTTCATCCTGTTCTCCAAGGCCAAACTTGCCTGTTACTCCAGGTGTCTCTTGACTTCCTACTTTTGCATTCCAGGCCCCTATAATGAAAAGGGCATCTTTTTTTGGTTTTATTTCTAGAAGGTCTTGTATGTCTTCATAGAACCATTCAACTTCAGCTTCTTCGGCATTAGTGTTTGGGACATAGAATTCCATTACTGTGATATTGAATGGTTTGCCTTGGAAATGAACAGAGATCATTCTTTCAGTTTTGCGATTGCATCCAAGTACTGCATTTAGAACTCTTGTTGATTATGAGGGCTACTCCATTTCTTCTAAGGGATTTTTGCCCACAGTCATAGATATAATGGTCATCTGAATTAAATTCACCATTTCTGGTCCATTTTAGTTTACTGATTCCTAAAATGTCAATGTTCACTCTTGTCATCTTCTGTTTGATCACTTCCAATTCTCCTTGATTCAATGACCTAACATTCTGGGTTCCTGTGCAATATCGCTCTCTACAGCATCGGATTTTAGTTCCACCACCAGTCATATCCATAGCTCAGCGTTGTTTTCACTTTGGCTCCATCTCTTGATTCTTGCTGGAGTTATTTCTCCACTCTTCTCCAGTAGCAGGTACCTACCGACCTGGGAGTTCATCTTTCAATGTCATACCATTTTTCCTTTTCATACTGTTCATGGGGTTATCAAGGCAAGAATACTGGAGTACAAAATGAAGCAGGGCAAAGGCTAGCAGAGTTAGCTAGACTTGGATTACTGTGGTACTGAATGGTTTGCCTTGGAAATGAACAGAGATCATTATGTCATTTGGTTTCTCACCAAATCCTAGAACATCATAGAAAAGCTGAGATCCAGTTGAAGTTCTAATGTTAGAGATGAGAACACTGAGAGCCAGAGATGGAATCTGACTTGTTCGGGGTTGCACAGTGAGAGTTATCAGAGCCAGGGCTGAAACCGACTTTCATCAATCCTTGTCGTGTTCTCAGGTTTCCATCCCTCATCCCATTCCTCCATCCACTCCTTCATGCATTCCACAGATGCTTATGGAAGGCCTACTGCGTGTGAGGCACTCTGCTAGGCGCTGCATCTCAGGGGTGCATAGGACAGTGTGCCTGCCTCCTGGAGAACATGTGAGGGGGGTAAGACCAACTGCCCCTGCTTTTTCCGGCAGTCTGGGTTTTGCAGCCCTCAACTCTTAGGAAAGAGTTAGAGCCATCTCACTTTCCTTGGTTTCTATCTTTTGTTAAACGTTTCTCTATTCTGCATCTTTTATTTATACATAGTCCTTCCAGGACTAAAGCAGTTTGCTGGATTCCTCTAATGTCCTAGAAACACATGTCCAGACCCCTTCTAAGAATATACCTACTCATGACTTTACAGGGTATATCTCCTGAGAGGTGGTTCTTTAATAGTCTACCACGGATTGGGCCAAATAGTTTATTGGCTAAGAAAAAAACAGGACTTCTTAATAAAAATAAACTTTTTCTCCTAAACATTTAAAATTCTAGTTTTGGCATATATGTTATAATGTTATGTGTGTGTGTGTGTGTGTGTGTATATATATATATATATATATAGAGAGAGAGAGAGAGAGAGTTACTACATTGTTAGTATATTTACATTTACTTGTGGGGTGTGTAGTAACATTTTTTGCTGATAAGTGTATGTAGAAACCACTGCTTAGTGAAATGACTTTCAGAATCCCATCATACTCCTGGAACATTCTGTGCCTTGAGATGACCCGTCACAAATGTTTGCATCAGGCGGTTCCACTTGGCCTTCTTAAATATGGATCGGTGTCCCATGTCATGCTGCAGAAATGAACCCTGAACCTGGAAGAGACAGGGTTGCAGTCAGAGAAGTTGACAAGGAAAGAAGAAAGCAGTAAGTGGGCCCGCTGGTGGGTTCAGGACCCCATGAGAACAGTGGTGATCTCTGTATCTGTTACACTTGCTGAGTGCTTTCCCGTCCCTGTACCTTTGCACAGGTGGCTCTCTAAGCCTAGAATGTTCTCTCTACTGTCAGAATCATCCAGTGTGGACTGGAAGGATGATGCCTTTGGAGTCAGGCTGACTAGGGCTCTGAACTGTCCTTTACCACTTTACAAGTTATACAACTCTTGCCAAGCTAGTCGGTGGCTCTGAGTTCAGTTCTTTGTCTGAGAAGCAGGGATTATAATATTATACCTTGCTCATTCAGCTGTCTTGCAGCCAAAATACATGTAAAATTCCTGATGATGCTAAGCACTCAAACAAATATTTGTTTCCTTTCGTGATTCCAAAAGTTGCTTTTCAAAGAATAAAGCAAGTTGACTTTTCAAGAAAAAAAATTAGCATATAAAATTTTATAATTAACATTGATGTTAATTCTCCATGAAATCATCCCCAGTTGCCTCAATTAGAATTAAATGCTTTTTTCTGCTTCAACAGCACATGCTTGTTTCTTTCCCTTCTGCCTTTTATCTTGTCTAGATATTTAAATGACCATCTCCTCCGCTGGCTGACTGTTTCCCAAGTACAGGGTCAGGTTCATTTCCCCTTGTGTCCGCAATACAGTGTTGTGGGCATAGAAGGTTATGTTCAGAGATCTGTGCTTCATTCAAAGGATTTATCAATTGCCCTGCTACATGCCAGTATTGGTTGCCATTTCTGGTAGAATACATGATCCTATTATCATGTAATAATAAATAGACTCTCATCATAGACTGGTATATTGATAAGTACTGTTGAAATGAGGCTTTGGCTAGGGTCTCAGAATTTTTTAAGTTCTTTTTAGTAGAATTTTTTATTATGAAACAGCATGTATAAATAGTGAATATGTGTATATATATATATATATATATACATACATACACATACATATACATATAGGTATAAATTAATGTGGGGTTTGCTTTCTTCATGATGGCTAAGACAGTAAAGAATTTTCCTGTAATGTGGGAGACTTGGATTTGATCCCTGGGTCGGGAAGATTCCCTGGTAAAGGGAATAGCAATCTACTCCAGTATTCTTGCCTGAAGAAATCAATGGACAGAGGAGCCTGGCAGGTTACAGTCCATGGGGTCTAAAAAAGTTGGAAACAACTGAGTGAATAAAAAGGAAAAAAAAAAAGTTCATGTATGTGCATATACTTTTTTTTTTTAAATGAAAAAGCAGATTTGTTTTTTTTATTATGATGTTTCTCCATATTTGGCATTGCTGTAAATGGCTAACTAACATTTGCTGCCAATTCAGTACAAATGTGTGGTTTGGTAATACCAGAACAGCAAATTTAAATGAAAAATAAAAGTTAGACATTTCCACACAAGATTTTACAGTCTGACATTTCACTGCGTAGGTAAAAAGACACTTTTTTTTAAACTACAGATTATTATTCAGCATGAATAAAAAACTAATAAAATCATTGAACAACCATGCAAAATGTTGGTTGGTTAATGAACAAAAGATAAAGGTGAAGGTTACATGGCCCAGAACGGAACTCCAGTTGCTGACATCGTGTGGATGATATTGGGCACAGAGTAGCAACTGCCAATAATATTTACCACACGTCAGTCTCTGTGCTAGGTGCTCTACAGAGTAACTCGTTTAGTTTTTTTAGAATATTTCCATAAAAAAATTGTTACCTCGTATTACAGATAAAAGAACTGGGGCCCAGTGGGTTTTGATAACTTGCTGGTGTCAGACACTGATGAGTAGCTTGCCAGGAAGTGCCAGGCAGCAGCTGACACCAGTGTAAAGAGGGAAGAAAAAATTCTGAGGCTTCCCATAGAGCCGCTGCCTGAGCTTAGGACACCTACTTACCTGAGCAACTGTGAGAAGAAAAGAAATGAACATTGTGATAAGCCAGCCACTGCCAAAATGCCACACTATTACCCAAGCCAGGGCTTCCAAAATCAAGACCTGGGCGAGGTGAAGGAAGAAGAACCCCAGGTTGGCATTGAACAAATTCATGGTCTCTAATGTCTTCCGCAGTTCTTGGAAATCTTCCACCAACCGGGACTGTAAGATAAACATGCAAGAAAGGAATTAGTTCTTTCAATGGAGAGGGAGCACAGATGAACATAATTATTAACCTATTTTATCAATGTATGATACCTTAATTTTATGAATAGATATTGATTTATTTAATAAATATAATTAGGCATAATTTTAACAAAAATATTACCTTAAAAAATTAACAAAAAAGCCAAATGCTTAAAATAAGTTATGATTTTTTTTTTCCTGGAGAAGAGACAGATGAGTAGTGATTTATAAACTGCCCTCAAATTGTTATGGGACTTATAATTTACTTCTTTTTTGGGGGGTGGGGGAGGTTCAATGAAGAGATACATAGCTCTAAGAATTCTCTTTTGAAAGCTGATTAATTAAAGGAAAATTTTTTGATGCAGATCATTTCTTTTGAAGTCTTTATTGAATTTGTGACAATATTGCTTTTATTTTATGTTTTGTTTTCTTTTTGACTGTGAGGCATGTGAGATCTTGGTTCTCTGACAAGGGATCAAATCTGCACCCCCTGCATTGAAAGAAGTCTTAATGACTGGGCTGCCAGGGAAAACCCCCAAAAATAATTTTCTATTTTTCAAAACAAAAATTTTATTGAAGTATAGTTGATGAACAATGTTGTATTGGTTTCAGGTATATAGCAAATTATGCATATATATATATATATATATATTACATATTGTTTCTTCAGTTTCTATTCCATTGTAGATCATTATGAGATATTGAATACAGATCCCTGCCAAACAGTAGGTCCTTGCTGTTTGTCTGTTTTATATGTAAAATTGTGTATCTATCAGTAATATTTGCCTTTTAAAATCAGTGTGTTGTTTGATCTCTGATTATACTTTGGTGAACTTTACTGTCTATATGGATCTGTGTTACTTTCTATGTTATCAGCTGTTTAGCGTGTGCAAAAGAATCCTTTATGAATGACAGAATTCACTTAGATTAGCTCAAAGGATGAGTGTACTGTGAGATGCCCAGAAACTCTACAGGAATAAGACAAGGTCTCCTGTGGTATTAGTGTGTGTGTCCATTGGTTGGAGGGGCCCTGATTCTGTGTACATGTACTGTGCTTTTGTATGTAGGTAAAGGTCTAGTACTGATTTACAAACTTGCACATCATACTTGAGAGTCAGTGAAAGACTTGGGAAGAAATATCTCCTTACCTTAATGACTATAAAGGGTTTGAAACTCAGACTGTTGAGAAAGTGACAAGGGTATAAGAATGAAAACTGGATTGTTCAGATGTAAAAGAGAAGAGAAATTTTGAATAATAATAATAAAACAAGAGCTATGAACATAATCTTAGAAGCAAGAAAATTCATTTAAAAATTAACTGATATAACTTGTAAATGATGCAAAGCCTAGGAAAGTCTGGATGGGCTCACCTCTAAAGGCCCCATGAACATCAGAATTCTGCTGGTTATAGATGTCTTTAATAGATCACACAAGTGTGCTAGTGAACAAAAGAGTCTGAAATACAGTACTTTGGTGCAAAATCAAAAATGAAAGATGATCTCTGTTCATTTCCAAGGGAAACCATTCAATATCAGAGTAATCCAAGTCTGTGCCCCTACCAAAAGTGCTGAAGAAGCTGAAGTTGGATGGTTCTCAGAAGACCTACAAGACCTTCTAGAACTAACACCAAAAAAAGATGTCCTTTTCATCATCAGTTCAGTTAAGTCGCTCACTCGTGTCCAACTCTTTGCGACCCAATGGACTGCTGCATGCTAAGCTTCCCTGTTCATCACCAACTCCTGGAGCTTAATCAAACTCATGTCCATTTAGGTGGTGATGCCATCCAACCATCTCATCCTCTGTCATCCCCTTCTCCTCCCGCCTTCAATCTATCCCAGCATCAGGGACTTTTGAAATGAATCAGTTCTTTGCATCAGGTGGCCAGAGTATTGTAGTATCAGCTTCAGCACCAGTCCTTCCAATGAATACTCAGGACTGATCTCCTTTAGAATGGACTGGTTGGATCTCCTTGCAGTCCAAGGGACTCTCAAGAGTCTTGTCCAAGACTACACACAGTTCAAAAGCATCAATTCCCATGACTGATTCATGTCAATGTATGACAAAAACCAATATTGTAAAGTAATTAGCTTCCAACTAATAATAAAAAAAAAAGCATCAATTCTTCAGCGCTTAGCTTTTTTCCATCATAGGGGATTGAAATGCAAAAGTAGGAAGTCAAGAGATACCTGGAGTAACAGGCAAGCTTGGCCTTGGAGTACAAAATGAAGCTGAGAAAAGGTGAACAGAGTTTTGCCAAGAGAACACACTGGTCATAACAAACACCCTCTGCCAACAACATAATAGATGACTGTACACGTGGATATCACCAGATGGTCAATACCAAAATCAGATTAATTATATTCTTTGCAGCCAAAGATGGAGAAGCTCTATAAAGTCAGCAGAAATAAGACTTGGAGCTGCTAATGACTCAGATCATGAATTCCTTATTGCAAAATTCAGACTTAAATTGAAGAAAATAGGGAAAACCACTAAGCTATTCAGGTATGGCCTTGAACTGATGATGAAAAGGACATCTTTTTTTGGTGTTAGTTCTAGAAGGTCTTGTAGGTCTTCTGAGAACCATCCAACTTCAGCTTCTTCAGCATTCTTGGAAGTGAGAAATAAAATCAAGGTATTAAATCTGATAGAGTTCCTGAAGAACTATGGACAGAGGTTGGTAGCATTGTACTGGAGGTGGTGATCAAAATCATCCCCAAGGACAATAACTGCAAAATAGCAAAGTGGGTGTCTGAGGAGGCCTTACAAATAACTGAGAAAAGAGGAGAAGTGAAAGGCAAAGGAGAAAAGGAAAGATATATCTGTCTGAATGCAGAGTTCTGAAGAATAGCAAGGAGAGGTAAGAAAGACTTCCTCAGTGATCGATGCAAAGAAATAGAGGAAAACAATAGCATGTGAAAGACTGAAGATCTCTTCAAGAAAATTAGAGATACCAAGGGAAAATTACATACAAAGATAGGCACAATAAAGAACAGAAACCATATGGACCTAACAGAAGCAGAAGATATCAGGAAGAGATGGCAAGAATACACAGAAGAACTACACACAAAAAAAGATCTTAATGACCCAGATAACCACGATGGTATTGTGATCACTCACCTACAGCCAGATATGCTGGAGTGTGCAGTCAAGTGGGCCTTAGGAAGCATCACTACCAACAAAGCTAGTGGAGGTGATGGAATTCCAGCTGAGCTATTTCAAATCCTAAAAGATGATGCTATGAAAGTGCTGCGCTCAATATGCCAGCAAATTTGGGAAACTCAGCAGTGGCCACAGGACTTAAAAAATCAATTTTCATTCCAATTCCAAAGAAACACAATGCCAAAGGATGTTCAAACTTCTGCACAATTGCACTCATTTCACATGCTAGCAAAATCTTAAAATTCTCCAAGCTAAGCTTCAACAGTATGTGAACCAAGAACTTCCAGAAGTTCAAGCTGGATATAGAAAAGGCAGAAGAACCAGCAATCAAATTGCTAACATCTGTTGGATCATAGAGATAGCAAGGGAATTCCAAAAGACATCTACTTCTGCTTCACTACCTATGCTAAAGCCTTTGACCATGTGGATCACAACAAACTGTGGAAAATTCTTCAATAGGTAGGAATACCAGACCACCTTACCTGCCTCCTGAGCAAGCTGTATGCAGGTCAAGAAGCAATAATTAGAACTGGACATGGAACAGTGTAGTGGTTCCAAATTAGGAAAGGAGTACATCAAGGCTGTATGTTGTCACCCTGCTGATTTAATTTCTATGCAGAGTATATAATGAGAAGTGTTGGCCTGGATGAAGTAGAGGTTGGAATCAAGATTGCCAGCAGAAATATCAATAACCTCAGATTTTCAGATGACACCACCCTAATGGCAGAAACTGAAGAGGACCTAAAGAGCCTCTTGATAAAGGTAAAAGAGGAGAGTGAAAAACTGATTTAAAATTCAAAATTAAAAAAAAAATGAAGATCATGGCATCTTGTCCCATGATTTCATGACAAATAGATGGGGTAAACAATGGAAACAGTTACAGACTTTATTTTCTTGGGCTCCAAAATCACTGCAGATTGTGACTGCAGCCATGAAACTAAACCTTGCTTGCTCCTTGGATGAAAAGCAGTGACAAATCTAAACAACATATTAAAAAGCAGAGACATTATTTTACCACCAAATGTCTGTCAAGTCAAAGCTATGGTTTTTCCAGTAGTCAGGTATGGATGTGAGAAATAGACCATAAAAAAGTCTTAGTGCCGAAGAACTGATGCTTTTGAACTGTGGTGTTGGAGAAGGCTCTTGAGAGTCCCTTGACTGCAAGGAGATCATACCAGTCCATCCTAAGGGAAATCAGTCCTGAATATCCATTGGAAGGTCTGATGCTGAAGCCAAAGTTTCAATCCTTTGGCCACTTACTAGGAAGAGCTGACTCGTTGGGAAAGACCCTGATGCTGGGAAAGATTGAAGGTACAAGGAGAAGGGGATGGCAGAGCATGAGACGGCTGGATGGGCATCACTGACTCAATGGATATGAGTTTGAGCAAGCTCCAGGAGATGGTGAAGGACAGGGAAGCCTGCTGTGCTGCCGTCCATGAGGTCACAACAAATCAGACACAACCTAGTGACTGAACAATAGCAACAGAGCACTTCCATGATTTTACCATCACGTTCACTGTACCGTTGGGGTCACTAAAGCCCAGAAGAGTGGTTAATGTGAAATCCTCCACAAGTGATGGAAGCTGGACTTTAACCTGTACTTCCTGACATTCAGTTTTGTGCTCAAACACTAATTGTCTACATACATATCTCTGGGTAATCACAGATGCACAAAAAGATTCATATCAGATCTTTACCCTCAGGGATCAGCACTGTTTTAGATAATGAATAATTATAGCTCACAGCCATGAATGGGATTATCTTTTCCTTAGAGAAAATATTTAGGAAAAACAACTAAGCTCTGCACCATTTCCTCT